GGTGTTGAGAATTGTATAGGAAATTATATAGTATAATAGTTTGTCGTGATTTAGAATAATAATAATAATAATAATAATAATAATAGTAATTGTTTAACTTAGTGTGACATAGAATTTAAATATGAGTAACTTCCATTCTCCTATGAAATGCATTTCTCCCAATGCCAGGTAAATATTTTAAACTATTATATGAGGTTAGGACTACTCCACAAAGAATATTCTTTTCTAAATCCACGATATATAAATACATTACTTGCAGAGTTTTAACGCCCAAGCCGCAAGTACAGCAATTATTGGATTTACGGCAAATGCAGTGCAAAGCTCGCAACAGTATCATGTGGTTTTTCATTAACGGTGTGCTACTTAGCATCATAGTCTTTGATATGTAAGACTTTTTCTCTTAAGTTGTATTTAAAATGATAACAATTCTTAGCTGAAGCTTGGCTGTGTTTTCTAGATTCTATGGTGGATTCGCATACAAACCGATTTATTGGGTTGAGTGGTGTTTAGCATCATTATTTGCTTTGAATGCTGTGTATCACATTGTACAATATACCTGGGTGATCTTGAGTCTGAAACCGATTACGCTGAGCTCTAAACAACGGCCGCTTTTAGGAGTGTCAGAAGATGATCCCCTGTTTAAAGATGAGGTGCCTCAGAAGCAGACAACTCCAGAGCCAAGTCCATTATTAAATTTGTCATGTATAAATCTTAACAGACGTTCAACGACTCTTGGCTCTTCGGTTCTGAGTGACAGTATGCAGAATACTTTTTGATTGTACTATAATTAATCTTAAATTTTACTATGCATAACAGCTTTTTATATTTTGTTTTTTTTTTTCAAGAGGATTATTCAACATCAGTCCCATTTTTTAAATATAGTAATTTTACATCTCCTAAAGCAACTGTGTGCTCCAATGGATCGCTTAGTAAATCTACGAACATTTCTTTAAATAGTAGCTTGACAAATGAAGATCTTATTCAGGATGAATGTGAACTTGAGACTTATCTCAAAGAAGTTGAACAGCAAAGAAAGTGTGTATTATCCACAAATGTCGATCAACCTTCCAATCTCTTGAGTTCCTTTTGGTCTCATCCTGCTACTCGGAGTCCTGGTGAGGTATCACCATTGTTAAGAAGATGTGCTTATCAACTGGCACCTACCATAGGTAAATCTAAGATTTATTTAATGTCATGTGTATATATTTCTCTGTAAGAATTTAAAAAAATTGAATTATTATTTAGACAAAACAAAAGCAACCAGCCCTGCCGAAGAAGGAAGTTCTCCTAGAGGCACATTTGGTGCACTAGATGTATGGAGGAAGTACAGAGTTGATTCAAATAAAGTAAACGAATGGACTGCCAATCTCCGAATGGTAAGAGTTACAGTATAGAACAAAAAAATAATTAGTGCTCTATAAAAACAAGAATTGTTTGATTTAATACTTAAAATATATATATAAAATATTTTAGTGGATTAGCAAGACAGTTGTCGAACGTGTGGCATTGGAGATAGACAATATATGTGCAACATTAGTACGCCATGGCCTGAGCGACTCGCAGCCAGGCCATGTAGGTCTGGATAGACTCAGAAAACTTGCACAAGCACAATTTCTGGTCTGTGTGATTCCCACTCTACCCACATTAGTTCCCTTTCTAGAGCTCTGTAATAATCAGGAATATCTCGTAAAAAGAATAAAAATACTTGCAAAAGGAGGCTCCATGAGCGAATTTAAATGGAACGGTGGTGGATCTCACAATGGTAAAGAGTGGGATTCTAGCTTGCCAACTGATTCCGCAGTAAGCATATAGAGAATTATAAATTCTTTGTATCTAAGAGATTGTAGCTCTTCTAGAAATTTTTATTTTTCCTTCTATACGTCTTTTGCAGATAATAATGCATTTAATTTCAACCTACATGGATACACAATTGGAAGCACCCTTGGATCAGCCAGACGCCAGGCCATTTACATCGAGATATATGGCGAGATCTGGAATGGAATTGCCGCGAAATAAGGGTCCGATAATAGTCTGTCAATCCATCAATCCACCGCATTACAGTCTGGCACTATCTGACGATTCTCTTCCGAGCGATTATGAGGAAGTACAACGGGTAATTGAAATCTTATCGCATAAATATATATTATACCGCATATGTTTATTACTTTATAATGGCATTTATGTTTTTAGGGCCGCAATAATTTGTTTCATACACTCTTACTCTTTTTATACATAGTCAAAACGCGAGATCACGGCATGTTAGGACGAGTTAATGCAGGCTCATCTGGAATTAATATTCTGTGGGTCATAGATTGTTGAAACAAAAACGACTTCATTTGCTACTTGATAAAGACAAAAGAAAAAAAAAAGATTGTGGCTATTATATGATCAAATTTGCATTTATTTATACTGCATTTAATATTTTGTCCATAATATTTCATATTGTTTGTATATAGTATTGATTTAACACACACAAACGCGACTAAATAAAACAAATATTTATATTAAAAAGGTTGGTTATTGGTATATTATATATATTGAATATTATTTTTTTTTTTTTGCAGCTATATACATAGTTGAAGACAACAGAAATTATGATGTTTAATTATGACAAATTTTCCCTCTTATAATTTTTCATTTAACAAGAACCAACCAATGTATCTCTTTTGCCAAAATCTGTTAAGACTGATAGTTTTGTTACTAAACATTAATAGCTCAATTAAAAGTATATATTTTTTCTATTTTTCAAACTGATTGTGTATCTTTATATCTAAACTATAATTCCATAAATGCGCGTACTGTGTGTAGAAATATTTTGTTATGAAGTTGTAAATATTACAAGATCATTTAATCATTGCGTCTCTTTCCATAAAAATGATCCCAAATGATTATTTCAATTACATCTTCCTGACATGAATAAAGACACATAGAAACATTAATTGTATATGAATTTCCATCTTTCTTCTTCATGATTATGATCAATTAATCATTGAAATATATTCACTGTGATCAAATAAGTCGTCCTTAAATTAATGCAGTGCTCTAATTTATTGTACTCTTTGGATTATAATGCATTGTAAAATTACAAAGGATTTTTCAGCTTGAATTAATATATACAATAAAAATATATCAATAAAATAAATTCAGCAATTCTGATAGCATAAATCACAATATAAGATTAGAACAAATACTTTATTTATTACAACAAAAACTAAGTAATAAGAATAAAGATCATACCTCATATATATATGATAACAGCGTTTATACGATATATTTATACATGTGGTTTAGTTTCGCACTAATTTTACAATTGTTATGTGGACACAATTTAATATTATGGCTGCGTTCGGTTTGGACGTTCACGCGTTTTAAACGCTACTATCATTCTGCCTTTATTCGTTGAATGTAAGACAAAGATAGAAGTGCTGAACGCATTCAAATCGAACCCAGTCTATGTATAAGAGCACGTGGCATAAAAGCACACATTGCACATGAAACTTATCTATTATAAAATTTATAATTTATAGGGTCTTAGTCATTTTGCTATTATATGCTTTAATAAAAAAAAAAGTAAATTGTTAAAATATCAAT